TCCTTGATACCCTCGGACTCTCGCCGTGCTCTCAGCTCTCCTTGCGGCTCAGCGAGGCAGGTTGCCTGCGAAAAAGTTGCGGTCGGAGACGCGTCCGAGACAGAGCACAATTCTTTGACTGGTGAGCTCTAATGTTTTGGGACGCTGAAGCCTCCACCTCCTCCTCCTCTTCTTCTTCATCTTCATCCTTACTCAGCGGACGAGCGATTAATTGCTGCATAAAAACTATAAAAAAAGTGCACTGATTTTTTTTTTTTTTTTACAATGAATTGAACAACAAGAGTGTATAAAAACCAATTTACTGAAGCCAAGACGTTAGCAAGAAATCTAAAATTAACGTTTCATTAAACAGCCTGAGAGTTCAGCGTTTCTGAGATACGAAATAAGTCAAGAGCCTACTTCATCCGTCTGGCAGAAAAAGTCTAAAATCACAGACTGCTTCACTGAGAGGCATTTCAAACAGCTCCAGTGACTGCTAAGCGTACACTGAAGACAAATTTATAACAAGCCTACTGTGTGTTATTAATAGACTAAAGAAATTACCAGGACCTTTTATAATAGACACTTTTAGTGCGAAAGTCTATGCCACTTGCTTCAAGAATTCTGTTGTCAATGTGCCCTTGTATAGAGAGCATTGTGGCATGCTGCTGGAATTTAGTTGTCCCCCGCGTTCCCATAGTAGACAACAGTCGTTTCGAGACCAGCTCACATGATAACGAAACCGAAATAGACTCGAGAGAACACGACTGGAGACGGATGAGAGCTGAGACTCTGAGAGAGTTCATATGCTAACTCAAGCAAGAAGCAAAAACTAATTGACATGATGGCGTTCAGAATCAGAGCAACCTGCGTAATGGGAGAAACTCAGAAGGCGTCATTACAACAGACGAGTTGGTGTGTTTACAGTGTGATTTCAACAGTCCAGTTCATAAATTTTCACAGTTCGAGTCTGTTGAACCTCCAGCTAATCCACACCCGTGTTCAGCACTACAGGGGTGTG